TGTCATCATGTACGTGGGGCCTCCTACCTCGAACCGCCCATAAAAAGCCACTTTATTCAAAAAGTAGTACGCGGATCCCGATGCCTCAACCCAAAACTACTATAAATAGCGGACCTATGACAATTGTAAAGCTCTCTCGGCTTTTCTACAAACTTCCGAACTGTAAACACTTTAGTAAGCAACACGTAAAAGCCCATCACGGCTCTTCACCTCGGTTCACCTCGGACCGGGGCCATTGTTGATTCAATCCTACATGCTTTACGTTCAAATCCCTCCAATTTATTCACTTAATCATAAATTACATCGTTGTTAATAACCACATAACAACACCTAATTCCATTTTTTTTAGTTAAATAAGAAAGGAAGGCTCTATTTATTTATTAAACTTGGGTCTAGTTTAGTTGTTAAATTGAGACTATTTTTTATGGACTCTTTTTTCATGCACTCATAATTAAGACTTTTTTTAATGGGCTTTTTTTATGGATTCATAATTAAGACATTTTTTAATGGGTTTTTTGTATGGACTCATAATTAAGACTTTTTTTAATGGACTCGAATAGTTTAAGATTATTGTATATGCCTAAGATCATACTTTCGTCCCGCAACCTTACTTTACCTTGGTTTTACCTTACTTTTAGAAGTTTATATAGCGTTATTGTATTTGATATCAGTTAAATAATACGTCGTTATCTAAAATTTTATAATAAGATATCAAGTTTAAATTATATAAACCCATTGATGAACCATCTTACTATGTTATTGTCACATTGTTATTTTCATATATTTAAATTATACTTTTTAATTAAATACAAAACTGAATTGACATTAGTTGTGACTATCGAATTTTATCTTGGGTAAAATAATATTTGTGAAGGAGACTGGTGATTAACATAAGTTTTTTTTACCTGAGACTTGAATACAAATAATCAAAATAACATGTTATTACTATGAAAAATAAATAATATAATATCCTAAAATGATTGATATATATATATATATATATATATAGCTAAAATAAAAAAAAAAAAATTGTCAAATAATAAATAAATGAATAAAATAATTAGTTATTTTCACGTCCCACTTACAGCATCCACAATGCTTTGGGTTCAATCCCAAAAAGTTATATGACAAATAATAAATAGACCTAGTTTAAAAAAATTTATTCTCCAATGCAAATAAAAGTAGACTGGTCATGCTTATGTGGCAGCCAGAAAAAGAGAGTCGGTCTACCCTTAAGTCTATTTTAGACCCAAGCAGAGACCTAGTCTATTTGTATTGGAATGAGTTTTGTTAATTTTACATAGTTTTATCCATGTCATTCAGGACTTGGATTTATTTGCGTGCCACATATGCAAGACTAGACCCAATGCATTGTAGATGCTTTAACTTTAACATTTCCAAAAAATAAGCAAAATCCTATATTAATTCCAACACATGCATTATTTCAAGCTGGCCAATTTCACTAAAGATAACCGTTAATACATCCCGCACTTGGCGTTGCCGTTGCTCTTCTATTTTTTTTTCTTCCTATTGTGTACAAACTTAAATTTTCTGGGTTTTCATTTTTTTAAGGATCAATCTTTTACGTTCGATTAAGGATACAAACATGTGAAAGAAAAAAAAAAAAAAAA